GTGATAAAATATGAGATAGAACATTTTTTAGAAAAAAATATAAGGTTGTTTGTGATGACCTAAATAAGTGCACTTTTTGTCTTTTTAAGTAGAGAGGTGATGTGATAGAAAAAAGATAAAAAGATAAAAAGATGGATTATTTTGGAGTTGCCAAACTTAGCCTACATCTCCTAAATTCCTTCTCTACTGATGTGGTTAAAAGAAAATTTGAGAGAGAGGGAGAGAGGAGAGTTTTTTTTTTGGGGGGAGGGATGTCTTCACATAGGTCATTGTTAGGTTATGATAGGTCATTGGTACTGTTTGGTAGAGTTGTGAAAAAATTATTATAACTTATAATTTAACAGTTTATAATTTATAACTGTAAACATAAATTGATTTTTGACTTATAAATTAAGTTTCTCCTCCCCCACTCAAAAAATAAGTTGATTTTTGACTTACAAAAAGGTATAAGCTGTATTGTTAAGCTGAACTAAACACATCAAAATAGCTTAAATTAAGCTAAAAGCTAAAATAAGCTGGAAATAAGTCCTACCAAATAGGGCCATTGTTAGGTTATTAGAGGTGAAATTAGAGACCTCAATTAAGAAATAAATATTTTTTTAAAAAAATAATAAATAAATGGTAGCCAATACATTTAGTCAATCACAATCTTGTTTTAGATAATGACTTTTCACCTGCTGGGATTGGAGTGGATAAAATATTCTGACCACAAATTTATATCATAAATATTTTTTTAAAAAAATAATAAATAAATGGTAGCCAATACATTTAGTCAATCACAATCTTGTTTTAGATAATGACTTTTCACCTGCTGGGATTAGAGTGGATAAAATATTCTGAGCACAAATTTATATCACCATAACACTTTTTTATAAATTAAAATTTTATATTTTATTTATTTATTTATTAACTCATTAAGTATTAGGTTGGATTATTTTTACAAAGATATTAATATTGGATTTGTAAGTCTGATTTTTTGACAAAAGTTTAATATTAAGATTGTAAGTAGATAGATAAAATTTAAATTACTAAGGTGGTTTGGGACTCCAAACTGAAGAAGAGGAGCTCGGCCATTTTTTTCTAAGTCTTTTGAAAGAAATAGGGTATTTGTGAGAGCATTAAAACTAAAATGTGGATACAATTTTACTCTAATTTTTTTTTAAATTAGAAAAACAATAGAAGATAATAATAATTTCAACTCTAAAGAAAAGTGAGTTAAAAGATGTTAAATTTTCAAAGACTTTATTTTATATTTTATACCTCACTCAAAGTTATCCTCAATAAATTGTGATGATAATGACTTCAATTCACACCAAATCTATAGAAAAATTAAAACCCTCAATAAATTGTGATGATAATGACTTCAATTCACACCAAATCTATAGAAAAATTAAAACCCGCATTTCTTAACAAGGATAAATTATAAATACACTCTTGAGATTTGGTTAAAATATAAATTGTTCCTTATGACTTGAAAAATTACAAATACCCATTATTAAAATTTTTTATTTAACAAATTAACTAAAAAAATGATCTCCTATATAATAACAAAATTATTCAAATTATTAATTGAAACATATTTTTAATATCATTAAAAACTATTAATTAACTTGATAATTTATTAATAAAATGGATAATTTGTTATGAAATTAGAAATCTCAAGAGCTGAAATATAATTTTTAAATTCACAAAAATAATTTATATTTTAATCGAGTCTCAAAAAATGTATTTGTAATTTATTTATTTATTTAGATAGGATAATTTACCCTTTAAACAAACATTTACTTTGGCATCCTCAAAAAAATTCAAAAAATCAAAAAGTCACTATCTTATTTAAGTCACATCATTTTATTTAAGTCACATCACCTCTCTAACACATCACTTCAAACCCAACCCAAATCCAACTCATTTTACATAAAAAGTCAAAATATACACTTATTTACACTTTCCAAACTTAACTGCCCTACACCAATAATGAACTATTATGCCTTGATTATCTCTTCTATCCCTAACAAAAAAAAAAATTGCGACTCGCACGTTTTCAATCAATCACAAATTCCATTAGACAAAAAGTGTGACATCGGGTCGGGTTGTAAAAGCGGAGCCCAATATCCCACCAGATAAAAGGGGATTCTATTTACACTTAAAAAATGATTAAATACACTTAATTTTTAAGTATAGTCTGTTTAATTATTTAAAATTTTAAATTACTCTCAGTACACTTTATATGATATTTCCCTAATTACCGTTGAGTAAACCTAAATAATAAATAATAAATATATATATATATTTTAAAAATGTCAAACTAGTCATCAAAGCATATCTTCAATAGAGAGACAATAATAGGGGTGTTCGCGGATCGGTTGTGTGCGGTTTGCGGTTCGGTTTTGACCCGCCCGCATCTATGCGATTTGGGGAAAAATCAACCCGCAACCGCCCGCAGTGCGGTTTGCGGTTTGTGCGGATAGGGTTTGCAAATGTGCGGGCGGTTTGCGGTTTACACTTTTTCTTTAAAAATTAATTTTCGAGTTTTTTTTTCCCAGCGAATTTAGGCATCAGATTCATTTTATATATTTGTGATAACAATTTTTTGATGAGTTTACAAATAAAAATTGAATATCAATGCATTAAATGAAAGTACCCAAAACAAAGAGACCCTACACTAGCATTTTTGCCATGAAAAAAATGTATATCAATGCATTAAAGGTTGTACTCAATTAGAATTGCCAGTTCAGTAATCAATAATCAAACTATAAGTTCTATCGACCATTAGAAGGAAAATTTTATTAGGAAAAAGTGGATGAATCACCAATGAAAATCATATAAGAAACCAAGTTTAGGACTTGATAATTCTACGGCATTAAGAAAGTTGAGAAATACTTAAAAATAAGTATCCTAGTGTCATAGAGAATATAATGGTGCTCCTGTAAAAGTTACAAAGTTGGTATATAAAAAAAAAATAATAATAATAATTAAAGTGCGGGCGGTTTTTGCGGGTTGCGGGTTTAAACCGCGACCCGCCCGCAACCCGCAAATTTGTCATATTTCAAACCGCATCCGCCCGCATTATGTTTGCGAAACCGCCCATTTATATGCGGGTTGGGCGGATTGGGCGGTTCGGATAAACCGTTGCCCACCCCTAGACAATAATGTGATCAATCCAGTTATTATAGTTTGCAAAGACAATTCAACTGGGCAATCTTTTTATTTTAATTAATTAATTATTTGTTTCTTTTTATTATTATTATTATTATTTATTTATTTTTGAAGAAAAAGTGAATATAGATTATTAGGCCCCCATGGTGATCATCTGGGTTTTAGCATTGAAAAACAGTTTGTAAATTGTTCTTATTCAATTGTTTGGATTGAGTTTGAATTGAGAATAGCCAAATTATGTGATCATCTAAAAGTTTATTAATTTTGAAAAACAATTTAAAAAAATATTGAGGTTATATGGCTCAACTTTAAATGGTTCATATTCAATTGAACATGTAAATTGTTTCAAATTTGGACAAGTTACACATTATTTTGATTATTATTCTCATTTATTATTTGATTTTGTTCAAACTTTCTTCTAAGGTTTAGGGTTTCAAAATAATAAAAAACATTGATGTTGATGATAATGGTGATTTTTGGTAGGGTAGATTGGAGTTTTGAAGGGAGGATGAAGAAGAAGAAGAAAAAGAAAAAATAACTTTGATCTCTTAGTAAAGAAGATACAGAGATTTGAATAAGAATAATTGATTAGGGTGTACCATAAAAAAATATATTTTATTTTAAGGTTTAATATATGTTGTCTTTATTAATAAATTTACACTATGATATAATATAAATTAAAATTTATAAATTTAAATTAAGTATACTGAGATGTTTTTAAGATTCAAATAGAATGCCCCCAAGACTAAACCTAGTTATTTTTTAACGTGTTTTTTGAGAAGCTCACGACACAACCAAAAGTTTAGGTTTGATTTTGCCCAACGGGCTCACAGCCTTAGCCCAATGAAGATTAAGATCAAGTTTAGCAAGTTGAAAAAAAGTTAAAAAGTCAAAAAATTATTTAAAAAATTTAAAAGTTATCACTATTCATCAAAAGTAAAAAATTATGGCTGCACAACTCCCAATCCTAATTTTCTTCTATATACTAACATATCACCCGTGCTATGCACGGATTGTGTTTACAATTATCTATATATGTGAATTGTGATTTTAAATTTTTTTTAAAATTTTTAAATGTCTTCTTTTTTCCCTTTTTTATATTATATTAAAGTTTAATATTTTGATAATAATCATATGTGTTGGATTTTTCAAGAATTTTTTTTTTATACTTGTTCTTAATGTATTAAAGTGTTATTATGAGGGATAATAATTATATGTGTTAGGACTTTTCAAGGAATTCATACGTGTTGGATTTGAAAGATTTTTTTTTTATGCTTGTTCTTAATGCATTACAGTGTTATTATGAGACTAAGACTTGGGGGTTGTGAGAAGTTAATAAATGCTAAGATTTTTTTTTTAAAATCAAGAAATTTAGATTGGGAGATTGGCGCTCCCACAAGGCTTAGAGTTAAAAACTTCATTTTGCTTAATACATAGTATAGATTTATACAATTTTTTAATACACATTTTTTTATAAAAAGTCAAAAAGTTAACCCAAATATTCATATTTTTTTTCAATTTTTTAGTCTAAAAAAACAAAAAATATACATATTTAAAACACTTCAAATAACCCCTGAGTCTAATTTTTTTTTTCTTCACAATTTCTAATGGACCCGCAGTTGGCCCAACCAATGGGTAATGCTTCGAACTCAAAACTTAAAAACCACTAAGCCTGGCCCGCCCTGTTTGGAATACGGGCTCAAGTTAGACCGGCTTTGAGCATTCGGGCGGACGAGACCGGGCCATGAGCGTTCGGGCGGGCTTATTGGACATCACCTCTCACCATCACCTTAAATTAAACCACTAATAATTCATCCTCTTAAACCACTAATAATTAGGTGTTGAACCACCAATAATTTAGGTCCAATGGCTTCAAACAACTAGCACGATATTTCAACGGTCACAGTTTCTGGTTGGCCGGACTTCCCTCCGATTCCTTGTTTGTGCACAGAGAGAGAGAGAGAGAGGGGGGTCCAATACTTTGCTTGATATCCACACAAATGTTACAATAATTTTTATATTCTTCAACCACCCAACAATCAGATAGAGAAAACAGATTCTGTTTCACTTTTTGTTTTTTGTTTTTGTGCCCAGTACCTGTTTGTTTCTTTGCGCGTAAGAGAGAGAGAGAGATTAAAAAAAAAAGAGAGAGATTTGAGTAGTGAATTGTGGGCAGAGGAGGATTTGGTGAGTTGTGAATAAAGAAGAATTTGATGATCTGAAAGGGGTCAATCATCTTCTTCTTCATCAATTTCTCCATTTTTTCTTTTGCCCATCTGGATTATTCTCTCTCTTTGTTTTTTAATTTTTTTTTTTCTATGACATTATAAGATCACACATTTTTTTTGTTTTGTTGGGTTTCACCTAATTTTTGCTTCAATCTCAACATTTCTCTTTAGCTTTCTGGGTTCATTCAATAGTACCCATGGTATATATTCTTTCACTCCCTCCACTCTCTCTATATGTATGTTAATGACACCTGTTTAAGGTTTTTGAAGCAAATTTCATTGAGGCTAAGAAGGAATTCTTGACCTTTCTTTGGGTTCTTATTGGTTTATGTGACCACCATCCAAAAGTTACTCCCTCATTTTGGTTTAGAGTTTGGCGGCGAGGCCCACTATTTGTTTTGGTGGGCTTCGTCATTGAAAGGGTTTTGGAGATTTTATGTTCTTTTTTCGTGGCTTTTTGAAGAACTGAATTCAACCCATAACAGACTTCCTTGTTTTCAAATGTTTTTCTTTTTGATCACTTGCATCACTTTTATCTTCTTTTACAAGTCCCTCTTTCTCAAGCCCCTCCTACCACCATGGGCATATGAGGCGAGATTGTTATCGCTTTGGTTTTGGAAAGACCTATCATTCTTTCACATTACCAACTTGATGAAAAATACCCTCTATGTCAGTTCCATTCAAATTCCATCAAAAATGCTATTCAAGAAGACTTTGAATTCAAAAGTTGAGAATGCGGAGGCAACAGAAGGGATGATGATGTCTTTGCTAGACTTGCCTGAACTTGCATTGGAATGCATTCTTGAGAGACTTCCTCCTGATGGGCTTTGTAATATGGCAGGTGTGTGTGGTGATTTGAGGGATAGGTGTACTAGTGACCGCCTTTGGGAAAAGCATATGAAACAGAAATGGGGTCGAATTATTGGTCCAGCCGCCTATCGGGAGTGGCAGCGGCATATAGCTTCAAGGAAGGATTCAAGCTTTCTTGAGCAAGGCCAACGAAGGGCCCTGATGAGGTATCTTTTACACCTCTGGCCTCTTTCTCTAATTAGATCAAACTTTGACAACATTAGCCAGAACAAGAGTTCTCCACCAGTTGATTCGATCATGTCTTGGTATCTTGCTCTTAACACTGGCAAGTTCTGTTTTCCTGCACAGGTCTATAACCGCGAGGTATTTGCCTTGACTTCAAGTCTTTTCCATCATCAAATTTGATGTTCTTCAGCTTCAATGAATTTTTTACCCCTTTGATTCTCTATACCAATAAGTTTGTACTCCTTTTTTAATTTAAAGAGTTTTTGCATTGTGCTACAGAATGGGCATGTTGGGTTTTTGCTGTCATGCTATGAAGCAGAGCTTTGCTATGATCCCTTCACTAACACTTTCCAGGCCAGGTAATTGGAAAGATGTCCTAAATTAGACTTAAATTACGTGGAATTCATTCCTACTCTTCTTGTATTCATGATAATCTCATCTGGCTTTGCTCTAAGCCCCTCTGATGATTCATAGTATCTTATTTTGTCTTCCACTTTAATATATTTAAGCAAATGGTGGTTGAGCTTTTGTATGCTTTGCAAAATTGTAGGTACCCACCACATGGAACAAGACCAGTTGTAGTAGAGAGAGGCGTGTCTTGGGATAGGATAAGGGAACCCCCTGTCGATACTTCCCCACATGATCTTCATATCTCTGACTGTTTGAATGAATTACGCCCCGGTGATCACATTGAGATTCAGTGGAGGAGAAACAAAGAATTCCCTTACGGTTTGTTCTTTGTACTAAACCCTATTTTGTATTTTTTATTCATTTCAAACTTTATACCTGTTATTTTAATTCAAGTCACAGCATCAATGTTAGCTAGGAGCATCTTTGAATTATTTTCTTATTATATTTTATATGTTTCCCTAGATTTTTTGGTTTTTAATATGGATTGGTGGTTGGTTGGTCTTCAATGAAACTTCATGTAAGAATGGCTGCTAAAGATAATTTGCCTGTGTTTAACTCATATCTTTTAAAGTAAAAAAGAAGAGGCAAATCCACAATAGAAAACACTTTCAACTCTAAGTTGGCTTTAATTGACTTCTTTTTCGAGGCCTGGTGGTACCCCTTTTTTTCTTTAATTGGGAATACCATCAACAGTGATTTCCATTTATGTAACCAAATTTGATTTATCCTCTTTCTTCACGTGGAGAAGAAGAATCAGTCTTTGTTAGGTGGAAAGTTCTGTCAAAGATAGATAACTTCATATATTTGAAGTGATTCTTCCTTGAATTTTCTTTGAGAAGTGACCTAAATGATTCCTCCATATGAGTGCATGGTGATAGCCCAATGGTTGGGCCTTCACTCTCTCACTCAACCAACTGGGGTTCGAAACCCAGCACCCCCACCTCCTTTCCCTTAGTATAGTATACTTTATGATATAAAAGTTTAAAAGAAAAATTATAAAAAAAAATGATACAACTAACTGATTAAAAGATTTGTGCCATATACATGCAGGTTGGTGGTATGGTGTTATAGGTCACTTGGAATCATGTGACGGGAGTGACGATTTCTGTCTCTGTCATCGAAGTGGTAAGCTGATTTCATCCCTCTTTCTGAGACCCAGACACATTTTTATGAACTTGGGGGTGTCTGTTTTAAGTACCTCATTTTTCGAACATGTCATGTATTTCTTTGAAAGCATTGCATCTTTCAAAATGTGGTTGAGAGTACTTGAAAGTGTTAATATCACAAAATCAGATCTTGATATGCGTAGTTCTTAACTCTCATCTTTCAGTATGTGGGTTGTCTTATGTGCCATTTAATTGGTCCCCAAGTCAAGAATGTGTTAATTTTGTTCGGTCTGTTGAAAATTTAAGGCCAGTTAGGCTGAAAGAAACTTTTGTCCCCTCAAGCTCTGTTTGGTTGTAGAGCTGGAAGGGTTCCTGCTTAGTAGCTTGGATATGTCCCAAATTTATACTTCCTTTGGCACCAACTTATAAGTTGGCTTTCTTTTGAAAATTTTATAAAAATATGTCAAAAATTTTCATGTTTTTAAACTGGATGACCTTGAAAATAAAAATTATCAGAAAACAAAAATAAATATTTTTTTTCAGAAGTTTACTAAACACAAAAATCCAATTTTTATATAATTTGGCTTATTTTAGAAAAAGCCAGTAAAAGTAGGCTTGTTTTTGTCTTTATTGAATTGTTTTTAGTTCTTTTAATTTTTAAGATCTCTTAGTCTAGATAGACGGAAAAAGAATTATTAAAATTTTTAATTTATATTTTTATTTAAATATAATTTTAATATATTTATGACGTCACGGTTCGATTCCGGTTCAACCCGACGGTTGAACCGGTGACCCGTCCACCCGATCATTTTTCCGGTTCACTCACCGGTCCGGTTTTTAAAACATTGGTCTAGATAGACGGAAAAAGAAATATTCCGACTTGAAGTTGAAAAAAAATCACTAAAAACCAAAATAAGCTTAAAAACATATCTTAATTTATAATTTACAGTGAATATACATGTCGGCATGTTGTTGTTATGTCAGTATCATGACACTTGTCCGTGCATCTTAGCATATGGCCTTTTTTTTTCTTTTCTTTTTTCTTTGCATATTTATCTAAATTTCCAACACTGTTGTTTCCCAACAGACACGGTTGTGTTGGAGTTCAACCAATACGCTCCTGGTTCACGATGGGGACGAACTTCCATCGACAGGAAAGACCATCGTGAAGAAGGAAATGAGGCAGACGGGTTTTATGGGGGAATTAGGAAACTTCACAATAATGACGAGATTTCCACGTGGAAGTGGCTTTGGCCAGTTGAAGTCTTGGATTAGGCTTCAAATCAAAAAAACAAAAAAAGTTGACACCACTGATTGAGATACCCGGATGTAGAAAGCTCTGTCACATTCATTCCTATTTTCTCACTTTATAACAATGGTTTGTGTGAAGCTGCGATGCGTTTCATTTCACTTCAGTTTCAGCAATGCCTCAGAATCATAAATTTTGATATGTGCCATATTACTACCATGTTATATACAAGTTTTTGTTGTTGTTGTTGGATTCTATTTGGTTGCTTGTAGAGAATGTATAGAAAGTTTTGGAAATTTGTAGTGAACGTATGAAATGGTTGTTAGATTCCAAGTTATTTTGCTGGTCTTGTTTCTTCTTTGCACTGTGCTCACAATGCTTGGTTGAGTTTTCAAAAGTTATTTATTTTTAAAATTATAAATTAATTGGATAAATATAAGGGCAAATTACATATACACCCCTCGAGATTTGGCTAAATTACAGATACCCCCCTGAGGTTTCGGAAATTACTTTTTAAATTTTTTAAAATTATTTCTCCCCTTAAAAAAGGAAACCATATGCATTTACATTTTAATCAAATTAGTTTTTAGGAAGTTTTCAAAAAATAGAAGATATTTTTAAAAGTGAATTACATTAACCGTCCCTGTAGTTTGAAGCTTGTGTTATTTTGATTCTTAACTTTTTAATTGTGACACATTTGATCCTGAATTTTAAATCTTGTTCCAAATAAAAACAATTGAAGTTACAATTGCTCAATTTCAAGGGCAAAGTTGTCAATATGATAAAATATAAGCTAATTTGACAAAAATAAATGTCAAAAAAATATTTTTGAATTTTTAAAAATTATTTCTATCTACCAAAAATAAAATTATGTAAGATTGAAAAATCCTTTACACATTTATTTATTTATTTATTCACCAAATTATTTATTTATTATGTGTTTGAATGATGATCATATAATGAGTGGTTGTTAGATTTTTAATATGTAATTGATATATTGAATATATGAAATGTTTTTAGTTTTGAATTTTTTGATTTAATGAATTGGTTTAATAATGATTTCAAAATTGTCGTCATATTTAACTTTTGAAAAAATAGAAACTAATTTAATAAAAATAAAAACAATCACCCATTATGTGATCATCATCTAAACAAATAATAAAAATTAATTGAAAATTTAGCCAAAACTCATCTATTGGACCATTGTTTAGTGAAAATGACAGCCCAAATTATTTTGCTTCATAAACCCCTTAAAGAGAAAATACATAATTTAGTAAGAAACAAAGTAAAATATATATTTTTTTTCTTGGACAGTATTACTAGAGTAACATGTTACTGTTAAACAGACTAACATGTTATTGCTATTATTTACATCAATTTCGATAGAAATAAATTTTTTTTAAAAAGAATTTCTTAGTCAACACGGATTTTATTTGATGGGTTTTGATGAGAGAATTTTAAAAATACTAATTTTATTAAAAATCAACATCTATATCAAAAGTTATATTATTTTGAAGTTTAATATTTTGATAACAATGGTATGTGTTGGATTTTTCAAGAAAAACTTTTGTGCTTGTCTTAATGCATTAAAGTTTTATTATAAGGAAGTTTTGACCAAATCTCTCAAAATTAATTTGATAAAATAAATAAATGTGTAAAAAGTTTATCAATTTTATATAATTTTATTTTTGGTGAGTAGAAATAATTTTTAAAAATTCAAAAATATTTTTTTGTCATTTATTTTTGTCAAATTAGTTTATATTTTATCAAATTGATGACTTTGTTCTTGAAATTAGGTAATGATATATTCAATTATCCTTAATTAAAACAATATTCAAAATTCAAGATTAAATATGTTACAATTGAAAAGTCAGAGATCAAACTGATACAAGTCTCAAACTATAAAAACTAACGATAATTCGCCATATTTTTAAAAAAATTTAAATCATTTAAAAACCATATGCATTTTCTTTTTAATCAATTTAGAAAGTTTTCAGAAACTAGATTCTCAAAAATAATATTAAATGGAGACGTGGATATCATTACTCTAGTTATATTGCGAATGTACGTATAGGTCACTTCTTAACTCAGAATTTTAGTTTTTTTATTTTATTTTATTTTATTGTGAGGTGGATTAAGTAGGACAACAACATGTTCGACTTTTCTCCATAAGCTCGAATATTTTGTTTAGACTTCAATGTAATGTAAACAAGATAAACAAGATATGATTTATGCAAATTTTCAATCAAATTCAAAAAAATTAAATTATCACAATTGTTCAACGCGTTTCCATAAGCTCCAACCTTAAACCCCCCTCTAAAAGTTAAGAGGTACAACCACTTTAACTGCCCTCAATTTCATTTTAAATTCAAAGGAACTCGTCTAAACTATTTCTGGTTGAAATTTGGATAAATTTGAAGTGGGAAAAAATACCTTGGCCATATGCAAGCATATTTGAAGATTTTTCAAAAACATTTGCATTTTCAAATTTGGCCAAAATTGCCTCAAATAAATTAGAAAACAAAAATAAAATGTTGCACTTCTATTGTTTTCCTAAATTCAGCAACAATGGCCATTTTTTCGGGAAGCCTTAGTGGAAGGAGAACGCTACAACAGTCCAAGGCCCCTTTGTCCTTATATTCTAAATCACTCGGTCATTAAATCATGTAAAAATTTAGTGACACGAAAATCCCCTCTAATTAACATCCCAACATGGGCAGGCAAGCAAGGTAATATTTTAAAAACAGTTTAATTCGACTCACAAACAGATATCAATAAACATAAACATAATATATATATATATATATATATTTTAAAATGAAGAAGAAGAGAGAAAATTCATCAACATTACATGTGCTAAGCAAAAGTAAAGAGCAAGAAGCCATTTAGTCATCTCAACCAACAATTTGCAACATGAACTGCTTCAATTTGAACTACAATATCTCTCTCTCTCTCTCCAAGAAAAACATCCACCAGAAACAGAATAACAAGAAAATTCAGGAGGCAAGAAACTATTCTCCATAATTTTTAGGTGAACTCAAAAAGCTCCTGGCAGCATCTAAACTCATTTCTTCATACACCTACATGAGTCATTATTTTATATAGATAAATAATAACAAATAAAAAAAAGTCCAATCAGGAAAGTAAAATAATAGCATTTAATGGAGGACAAATTTTATGATTCTTAGATACTAGAATATGCATACAAGTTTCTTGTGAATGGTTCGAAAAGCCTTGCAAAATTGTTCTGCCTTTGCTGCACCCACCTGTAACATGTGCACCAAAAGTTAGTTGTTATGCCCATTTTGTGTTAATATTTTCTTTTGCTATTTTCTGACAAGACCTCAATTAAGAGCATGCCCAACCTCGGGTTTTATTATTGTATTTGGACACCTGGCTAATGCCAGCCCAATATCAAATAACCTCACATCCACTATAAGTAAACTTTGGGGAATATGAGCTTGCCACATGAATGAATCCCCAAAAAATCCCTTCTGTCAGATCTCTATCCCTTGTTAGCTTAATAAGATAAAACTTTTACAAACTTCATATTAATAATAGCAGAAGCTAAAATGGCAACTAACGTAGGGCTAGGCCATGAGCAGACCCAAGCATGATCTGAACTTAGGTTTGGGATTAATGTGAAACAAAGTGTAGCACAATTTGCAAGACGACATGTCATTGTGCCATTTAATGCTTGTACTTTTTCCCAGAAGACATGTTCCGCTAAATCAAAGACCAAAATGCACTATCACTTCTCAACCCATGCCCTTTTTGGTTGTCTTCTTATTCATGTTACACCTTAGTTTTACCACATCCCCACCATCAAATTTATTGGTCTTAGATGCAGATGAGCAAATCATCCCAAATCAAGCATTCTTTCATTATGTTAAAAACCACCCACTCAAAATGGTTTCATTTCTACATTTATAGTTGTCTCAACAGTCCTCCATCTCAAATTCCCCTCCTTAAACAGGATCAACTTGTGAAAATGTTTTCTGACTACCTAACATGATATCAAATAGAATAACCTGTCATGTAGATAAATTAAATAAAAAAAAGACCCAACTAAAAGGGTGTTTTGTATAGATGCTATATCTATATGGGCAGTGTCTATTCACTCTCATTACGAATAATCAACCCATATATCGAAAACAATCATTATAATTTAGCTATGTTGGTTGATTGTCTTATTTGATATTCATTATGAATATTAAATATGCTATTACGATTTTTTGAGTAAAAATATTTCCAAAGAGATGAAAAACATGAAATGGAAACTCTAACCAGAAAATTGAAGCAATAATAGTATCATCGAAAAATTATATGCTAGTTCTCCTGAGATAAGAATGCAAATTTCATATAGAATGCTTATGTTCCACACTAAAAGTATAATGAAATGTGGTTGTCAATGAGGGTTAACTTCAAAGCAAAAAAAAAAGATTATCCTATTAAGCTGAATCCTATTTATAATTTCCATGCACACAGTGATCACACATTAAAATTAATTACTGTGGTGTGAGTATATTTATTATGTTCGTAAAGTATGACCACCACAAGCATTCTTACCTTCTTTTCTGCAGCCATCTTTAATTTTGCCCAAAATGAATCTGTAAGGACACATCCCATGTAAACATGTTTATTTTGATTTCAACATCAACTATGCTTATATAAGAAACGTATGCAAGCAACATGGAACTGTGAAATGCCACAAATTACACATGAAATGAATGTCACACAGATGGGGAGACAGAGAGAGAGAGAGAGAGAAATTAATGGGCTAAAGTAAATACATAAGAAAACAAGATCAGAGATCATTTTGCAAAAAAAAAAAAAAAAAAAATCGTAAATAACTAAAAACATGTTTTCATATAGTGCGATCATTTTGCAAAAAAAAGAAAACATGTGAATATACAAGTAAAAGAATCTCTCCTCCACCAATTCAAGAAAGTTCTTAAAAAACTAACAAGATATATCAAACAGTGTGATCATTTTGCAAAAAAGAGGGTTTATGGATCAAACTCACTCAATTAACAAAGTAATCAAATTAATCATTTCATACGTAAAATGAAATTATTACAAAATAAAGATCTAGCTAGCAGGGGCCTAAATGACTTGAAATTTTAGAGAAGAGCATGATACCATGTTCAATTTCTTGAATTGCGATTTCCTTTTCATCTGACCCATCCCATGCATCCTGCCATTCCTTTCGCTGTTATATGACAAGGTTGTATATTAAATACAAATGTAACCATTGTTGTCAAATCATGATTCAAATCATGAATGTTTTGCTAAAATAGTGAATCGCAAGATTCATTTTATTTAATACGATACATAACTCTATATATTTATGTACATTTAAAAATATATAATGTTTAAAATAAAATAAATTATCAATATGACTAAATTATATATGTATATATATAAAATCACATATATCAATATAACTAATTAATCTCTTCTATACATCTTCATAGTTTGATGGAAAACAACCTTATTTCATGCATTACGTAAACAAAAAATAGAAATAGAATTGAATCCTACGATTCACTCATTTTTCGATTCAAGAGAACAATTCGAACCGTATTTTGTTGAAACTCGTATCAAATTATATGAATCAAATCGGGTGATTCTAACAACCATGAATGTAACAGCTAGCACTGAAATGAGACCAAATAAAATAAAATAAAAAAAAGTAGTAAAGAAAGTTGTGAAGAAGATACCTCCTCATTCGGTGGAGGTTGAACAGTCGATTGTCGCGTTGATGATTCTGAATCAGCCTAAAATTGTAGTAAAAGAGAAGTTGGTATTAATTAATTATTGAACAAGTTCCTTTCCAGTGAATTCCCAAATAATCAACAAAAGTTGAGAAAGATTCTCTACATCTTCGTTTGATTTCAAAATTTTTGACATTTCTAATCTCAACAAGTAAATCATATTTAAATGCTTCCAAATACTATAATACTCAAAATCATGGCTGTAGTTAGGGTTTACATGATAATCGCGGGGACGAACGACTGGGAAGAGATTGAGAATGCGTTGAAATTCAAGCTCATCCATTTGGCTACTTTCTACTACTACTACTACCACTACTGCTACTACTACTACGACTTTGTGTATCAATCGAACCTCCTCTTCTCCTCCTGTAAATTAATCTGTAGTACTATGATTTGCGAATCGCTTCTCTCTCTCTGTCTCCCTCTCTCTCTCTCTCTCTCTATGTGATGATATGATCCTGAGTGAGAAGTGGTTTGAAGAACAGTGTACGAATGAGGAAAAGACGAGGAAAAAAAGGGTCTCGAATTTTCGAAACCGAAAAGACGAGGAAAAAAAGGGTCTCGAATTTTCGAAACCTAATAACGGACCGTCGTTACCTATCTAACAAATGATAAATTACAAATACAACTTAAAATTTAATTAAAATACGAGTCCTTTTATGTTATTTTGAAAATTATATTTTGTTTTTAAAATTTTTAATTTTATAATAAATTTTTTTTTATTAATAAATTATTAAGTCAATTAATAATTTTTCATGATGTTAAAAATATATTTCAATTAATAATTTAAATAATTTTATTATTATATAAGAGAACAATTATGAATTTCGTTTTTTTAATTAATTCTGTTAAATAAAAAAATTTATAAGGGGAAATTTATAATTTTTCAAACCATATGAGATAATTTATATTTTAAGCAAATCTCAACAAGAGTATTTATAATTTACCCTCTAAAAAATAATAATAATGGACCGTCATTCACTGGTCAAACCGGCCCAACTGAACCGCCCGGTTTCAATAATTACTAAACAGTTATCATTTTATTTTTTTTCAGTGCAACATTCTTCTTGCATAAAAATTTTAAATTGGGGTTTGATGATTTAAGTCTGAAATTCAAAACAATATTCAACTCTCATTTGGCAACTAATTTTTTAATTTAAAAATTAATCTTAATTTTAAATATAGGAGTAAATTTCTTTATCCATAAATTTATGTTAAGTTCTTAGCGTATAAAATTCATCGTGAATTTAATTTGTCTCTTGTCGTTAAAATATTGGAGATATTGTTGAGGCTATCACATATTTCACATCAATGATTTGAATTATTTATTTGATTAAATATGTAGATTATTTATAGAAATAAAATAAAATTATTTTGATAAATATATTCACATGTTTTGTTAATATTTGTTTGCAAAAGACTATAAAGATAATTTTGTAACCAAAAAAAAAACTTTGACAAAATTATGAATTATAATTATTAAATTTATATTTTATTTTTATGAATTACACATCATCAAACGCAATGAATTATTCAAATAACACTCATATTAAGACCCTCCACAAAAGGCAACGCCACTCCAAATGTCTCAATTATTAGAGAATATCATTCTATCCCTTTATCTATAAATCCGATAAGTCAATCCAGATTTGTCCCTTCCATTCTCTCCACCAGATTGCAAATTCAAGTTTCAGAACAAGCCATCAACAGAGGTGATGATAGATTGAGAAAAAGTGGTAAAAAAAGTAAATAAATTCCGGATTTCATACAAAAATATAACTTCATACCCAGATAGATAACATGCTAGATTTTACTGTAGAAATCAACCGACACGACAAGAAGACTTCAAACAGAAACAACAATACTAGACAACCCACCTCTCCAACCTACAAAGATCATGTTACCATACAAGTAGAAAGACAATGGCCATTTATTGGATATGTATATACCACTAAAAAGGGTAATGTCCCACATTAACCATTCATCCTCGGATGATCATGATCACATCTCTTGCAAACCCTCCTCCTCATCCTCATACTCGAGTTCCTCATCATCATCAGCCATTGCATCCTGATATTGCTGATACTCCGATACAAGGTCATTCATGTTGCTCTCAGCCTCAGTGAACTCCATTTCGTCCATGCCTTCACCAGTGTACCAATGCAAGAAAGCTTTCCTCCTAAACATTGCTGTGAACTGCTCGCTCACTCGTCTGAACATCTCTTGAATGGAAGTTGAGTTCCCAATGAAGGTTGATGCCATGGAAAGACCCCACGGAGGAATGTCGCAAACGCTTGATTTCACATTATTTGGAATCCACTCGACGAAGTAAGAGGAATTCTTGTTTTGAACATTAATCATTTGCTCATCCACTTCCTTTGTGCTCATCTTGCCCCTGAACATGGCTGATGCAGTGAGGTAGCGGCCATGACGAGGGTCGGCAGCACACATCATGTTCTTTGCATCCCACATCTGTTGAGTGAGCTCAGGGACAGTAAGTGCCCGGTATTGCTGGGACCCACGTGAAGTTAGAGGAGCAAAGCCAACCATGAAGAAGTGAAGGCGAGGGAACGGGATGAGGTTCACTGCAAGCTTTCGAAGGTCAGAGTTAAGCTGACCAGGGAACCTGAGGCAGCATGTAACCCCACTCATGGTTGCAGAGATCAGATGGTTCAGGTCACCAACTGTCGAACAGAGCAAAAAATGTCAGCACTACTAGGGTAATTCTATTTACACACAAAAAATTCTTATTACACTCTGTACAAATCTTTCTTCCTAATGTACAAGCGTTACAATGCATATTGTGAGTGTAATGAGAAATATAAGGCGTGTTATAAAAGGTTCCCTATACAAAATACATCCATGCAAAATGAAATGCCAAAAAACCCCCAAGGAGAGGAACAATTAAAAGCAGCTGAGATCAACAGACACTAATAAAAAAACCCCCAAGGAGAGGAACAATTAAAAGCAGCTGAGATCAACAGACACTAATAAAAAATGTATAATGAGTTAATAATAAACAAAATATTTATACATATAAACAAGTATAAACAACAGGGTCCTCTTTTGCACAGTACGAAAAACAAAGTATGACCATCTTATGAGAGTGTCCTTACACGCCTGAAGAGACTGCTGTTAAGGGTGTGACAGAACAGAAATGTGGCCCTACGATAAGATCAGCAAAATAAATACCCAAGTAATAGGATCTGTTAAGTCATTAATAATATATGTATTGTATTATTAATTATCTAAACATAAGATTTTCTTTAGGAAGAAAATATTGCAACAATGTGGAGGAGAAACTTTCAGCTAATGGTAAAAAAGATGAATTAGGTTGATCTCATATTGATATTCCCAAAAAAATAAATGCTGGTTATATGTTGGTTTCATGGAGAAACTTAGCGTTCTACTTATGGGTCCCCATACTATTTTGCAACCTTGGCATCCGGCAAGACATGTGACTCTGACAACTTGATGATAGCAGCTCGCCAAACCTATAAATGTCAATATCTACCAATATTCACATTTGTCAACAACTTGAACCACACTTTCATTTCCAGTTCAACAAGGCATTCGTATCTTACTATATCATTAATGATTCATTTGCATAGTAGGCCAAAAATATATATACAACTTCCAACCGACAAGTCTAATGCTATTAACGAATTATTATAGCAAGAATACACTGCTCTTATCTGAACCATAAACACTAATAGTGCATTCAGAACACAAACGCTATTCAAGTGCATAATACAATACAAGCCATGTAAGCAAACCAATAAAGCCTTTCAAGTTTCAACTGAAAAATATAAAATAAAAATGCTCACATCTATTCTTAAATTTCAAAGGGCACAACACTTACAGCTTGGAGTAGTTAATTTGAGGGTCCTGAAACAGATGTCATACAAGGCCTCGTTGTCCAGCACCATGCACTCATCTGCATTCTCTACAAGCTGATGAACAGAAAGGGTTGCATTATATGGCTCAACCACGGTATCTGAAACCTTTGGTGATGGGAACACAGAGAAAGTGAGCATCATACGGTCAGGGTATTCTTCCCTGATCTTTGAAATCAGTAAAGTCCCCATCCCAGAACCAGTTCCTCCCCCCAGTGAGTGGCAGACTTGAAAACCTATTTAAAGGCATAATGGAATAAAACAAGTTAAAGAAATCCAAAAATATTTGCTGATGTAACAAAACTAGAATAAATATGTTTCAGCTATTCAAACAAACAATAGTCTGCATTTTCACTTTTAAGGAAAATATTCATAAATAAAGATAATAGTGACAAACATTTACTAGTATAAATGACATCATATTTTCCATTTCCATTGGAGATGTGAACTTTGGGGGTTGATATGCATTTATTTTCATAGATACGGCACAAATTTGCCACATCACTAAAAGCTTGATTGGCAACACATTTTTCTGCATCACCAAAAGTAGATTTGCAGTGTCACAAATTCTTCAACTAGATCTCTTTACTTTTTCATGCAAAACAGAGAGGATCTAGATCCTACTCAAACAGATGGATCCAGATCTTCTCCATTTCATAGATGGAATAGAGCGAAAGATCCACAGTAGCAAATCTTTAATTTCAATTGAAATTTGTTAATCTAATGAAGTTGTAATTATAGACAGCCAATTTCCAATTTTGAAGATTTGTTGTAATCTTATGAAATGGAGAGGATCAAATTCCCTTTAAGATCACCAACAATATGGATTCCTAATGATCAATAAACCCCCGCAAACACAAATGATAATATATATTTTCGGAGTTTAGAGACACAACAGAACAAAAGTTTAAATGGAAATAAACTTTTCCACTTTTTAGTTACCAAATATATAACATATAACCACTACAAATACACAAGGCAAAAGAAAACTATGAAATTGTCCAAAATACATAAAATTATATATACCTTGAAGACAGTCACAATTCTCAGCCTCCTTACGCACAACATCAAGAACCGAATCAATGAGTTCTGCTCCTTCGGTGTAGTGACCCTTGGCCCAGTTATTTCCAGCACCAGATTGTCCAAAAACAAAATTATCGGGACGGAAAATCTGACCATACGGACCAGTCCTCACACTGTCCATAGTACCAGGCTCAAGATCCATAAGCACAGCACGAGGAACGAACCGTCCACACGACGCCTCATTGTAGTACACATTGACGCGCTCCAGCTGCAGATCTGACGTTCCGGTGTATCGGCCAGTCGGATCAATGCCATGTTCTTCGCAGACAACCTCCCAGAACTTCGCTCCGATCTGGTTTCCGCATTGTCCGCCTTGAACATGAAGGATTTCCCTCATTTTCACCTGAAATTAATTCTTAGCACTCAAAATTTAGCAGAAAAAGCCAAAAACTAAGCAAATTTAGACATGTTAGTGTGTTTATGTATCCAATAACTACACAGAAACCCTAACTGATCTCCATCTTCTCCCCTCACAGACCTCTGCAACTAGCCAGAAACCTAATTTATCAGACTCCCTCTCTAAAAACGAGTAACATTGTCGATTTGGTTCCAACATTAGTCATTCATTCCTCTACCGATTAACACTTCATAACTCTCTCTCTCTCTCTCTCTCTCTCTATAAGTACACTTGCGTATATCATCGGAGATATTGGAGCAATGTGATAACAGATTCCAAGAAATGATAACTTACCGAAGATTCCGGCTATCTGAACTGAGAATGAGAGATCCGGCGAGATCCGGCGATCGAGCAACGTAGAGAAGAAGAGAGGGGAGACCGATGTGAAGAACGAGATGAGACACTGTATATAAAGATCGAGAGGTAGAGTATGTGTACTATCAGGCTGTGATCCGCAACCATCCGCTCGTCATCACGCATCCGTTCAAAATGCGGCGGATCGGTTCGGTTCGGTCGGTTTTGGCGGATCGGTATATCCGCTGCTCACCCCTAACTACCAGGCTGTGAGATCGTACGGTTAGTATTTTTCCCCTCTTTTTTTTTTGGCTTAACTGCATTCTATGCCGTTGGATTGAACTCTTTGACGGTGCGGATGGTGTCTGGTTTTATGTGAAAACCGACTTTTCGTTTTACCAAATAAATAAATTACAAATTTATTTAAAATATAAATTATCCCTTATAATTTTAAAAATTATATCACATTCTTTTAAATTTATAATCACACAACAAATTAACTATTTTATTAATAAGTTATTAATTGAATTAATAGTTTTTAATAATTTCATAAATATATTTAGGAAAAATTAGTCTAAGGTTCTTCTCCCATTTTTAGTAATAGAAGAAATCTACAATATTATTTTATAATATCTAAGGTCCTTCAACTCTGCACAGAGAAATTTGACTTCTCTCTCTACCAACTTCTCCATTACCGAATCTTGCTCTATCTCTTTCGTCTCTCCAGCAAAACGTCCTTGATGAACAAGACAATGAATCACACAGACAAGCAATCCAATATGTGCCAAGAATCCAATCTGGGTCACTAACAAACTGAACCCGTTCAACACCCGTAGACCTGCTCTTTTAAGCAATCACATCCCTTGCACCGTAACGTAACCCAATCGTCTAAACTGGCAACTTTCGCTCTCATTCTCTCGTTTTTCGCAACTCACTCTCTCTCTCTCTTTTTCTCTCTCTCTCTCATCGCAAGATGTCTCTCTGTGTGCAATTCAACCATACCTCTCAACCTCCTTTAATGTCCACAATCTTCATTCCACCATTATTATAGCTCAAATCTTCCATTCCACGCGTAGACATACTCATCTTCGATCAGGTACACCCTCGCTGATCTATCTCCTTAAATTGATGCTCCTTTTCAATTATATATATGTATGTATGTGTGTATGTGTCTATTAGATTTTGTTTGTATTGTGTCTTGATTGCTTTTAGATCAAGGACGTGAATATATGTGGGGAAAATGCCAATCCGAGTGAAGGAAGAAGAGAGAATCGAAAGGATCATTCGCAACCTTTTGAAGCTTCCGGAGAATCGGAGATGTATCAATTGTAACAATCTGGTATATGACTTTGTCTCTCTTGTTTTTTTTCAATTTGTTTTATGGTTATTTATTATTTGAATCTAGAAATATAGAGTTCAATGTGAATAGCTGAGATTCTTGTAATAAGATGATTCGAGAGTTTTATAGAATATATAATTCATCAATTTTATGTATTCAAGAGTTGAAAATGGTTGCTTCTTGTCTGAATTGATGTATTATACGAGTGAAAACTGAATCTAAGTTCTCTACTTACATATCATTCTAGATTTCTTAATGCTGACTTTGGATCGAGACTACGAAACACAGACAGGATATGTAATTCCTTAACAGTGCATTTTTATACCTAAATTTAAATTTAAAGGTTTATAATTGTTCACATATGCATATTAATGACAGTGTTGACAGTATTGAATTTCTCTGGATTTGGAAATTTTCTCTGGATCGAATTTTCTCTGAATTATCCTTGAATTTTCTCTGGATTTGACAATTTTCTCTGGGTTAGAGTGAGATTTTCTCTGAGTTTGAGATTTTCTCTTAATCAACCATACAGTAATACATGTACAGAAGTAATAATAAATCTATATGATTTCCAACATATAATGGGCAAGAGAAAAGCTAGACTATCATATATCAGGGGGAAAAAAAGCCCAGAGATCACACATTAAAATGTTCTATTGCCTATCATATAGATTTTCTCTGAGTTTGAGATTTTCTCTGAGTTTGCATTTTGGATAAAATCAAAGGCACTGATTTTAACATTTAAGATCGGGTACTCTGTTATGGATTTTTATGTATTCTCTTTGTCATGTTTGATTACAAGATTGATCACCTTCTACATTGTTGATGTGTGTTCATTCAAAGTGCAAATGAAGGCAAATGGTGCGTCATTTTGAGGGCTGCTGATATTGTGGTTTTTTTTTATGTTAGTCCATAGATCTAGAGAAATTTGAATGTTCAAAGTCTTGAACTCAAAGAAATTCTTTGGAAGCCCAGAATTTCTCTGGGAAAAATTTCACTGGGCTGAAATTTCTCTGGGTTGAAATTTCTCTGGGCTGAAATTTCTCTGGTTCAATGTTAAGGGACCTTAGATATTGTGAAAATATTAAATGTCCTTTATACTATAAAATTTTAATATCAGGGATCCTAAAAAAAAACCCCATATATTTAAATTAATAATTTCGATAAGTTTATTATTATATAAAGGAGCAGCTAAATTTTTTATTTTTTTTCTTAATTCTATTAAATAAAAAAAATATGATAAGAAGATATTAATAGTTTTTAAAATCAGACAGGCAATCCATATTATAAATAAATCTTACAAATACACTCCTAATGTTTGCTTAAAATACGAATCATTTTCTGAAATTTTGAAAATTACATCACATCCTTTCAAAATTTTAATTTAACAACAAATGACTCATTTTATTAATAAATTATTAAGTCAATTAACAAATTTTAATAATCTCATAAATATATTTTATTTAACAAGTTTGGTAATTTTATTGTTGTGTAGAAGAATAGTTATAAATTTGATTTTTTTAATAAATAAAATTCTATCAGTCGGATATTTATAATCTACAAAATTATAAAGAACAATTTATATTTTAAGCAAATCTCAAAAAATGTGTTTATAATTTACCTAAGTCTAGGATTTCGTAATTTTTTGTGGGGCTATTTTTATTATATATTCATGAAAAAATTAAAAATTTAGTGCTTATGAAATTTGACATTTGTTTATAATTATCATTTCTCAAAACCTCCGTTGAAGTGAAAATTTTTATTTTATTTTCACACCACATTTTACGTTATATAATAATTATTGTATTTGTTTCAATTTTAAAATTAATTAAATTATTTTTAAGAGTATCTCCAATGGTGAATCATTTATTTTACTAATTTGAGTAAAAATTTCATCTAATGTCCAGCACTACAACCGAGCAATTTTGGCTGTCACCAATAAATAAATAATAAATAAGTCAACCAACAAGGGCAATCCACTAGCTCATATTTTATAGACACCGCAAGAATGGTAATTGTAATTGACCCTATGCAAAATCAACGATAACCTTACAGGGCAAACACCCTACAAAAGTAACGATTAATTTAGATAACATTTTTTTTTTGTCTTCATGCATCCTCCAACCCTCTGTTATAATTCCCTCAATTATTGGCAAAAAAATTGGTACTGCTGGCACACAATTCACACAATTTTGCAAGCTTATATACACAAAGGAGGTCGGGGGAGGACATTTGCCTAGTCGTCCAAGGGCATGCATTTCTGTGGGAAGTTATTTACTAACCAGATGACTGAGAGGACAACCGACCGAACATCCGGTTCTGCCAAACCAACGGCACCAAACAGTGAAATGGTAAAGGCTCCCACAAATCCTCTATTTGGTGAAACATTTTTTATATTCTCAATTTAATATCGGTTTGGTGAAACCGTTGAAACTAAGAAAAGACTATTTTTTTATTTATCAAATTCAAATTTAATTAATCATTTGATACCGCGTTGAAAATGGACTAATATCAAATTCTACAATGAGATTTTGCACACACAAAAATTATTATATTTAGGACAAGAAAAACGTTTGAGGGTTACAACTTTTGTGGTTATAATGGCTCAAAACTGCCAAAACGACGTTGTTTTGGGTGCAAAACATGCCAAAACGACGTTGTTTTGACAGTTTTGAACTATTGTGGCCACAACAATTGTGACCTTCTAGCATTGTTGTTAAGACAAATACATATTAGTTCATTACAAGACGTCATCCAAGTAACTTCAACCACCGCTAGTCACCATTCTTGTCTCTCTTTCACCTTGCCTCCACCTATAAATATGGTACTCTTTTTTTTTTTCTTTTTTCTCAATTTATAAGAATAAAACAAATTTTTGGAGTCTATGGATAGTCACTCATTTGTAATTTTCACAAAAATAATAATAATAAAAAAATTATTTCTAATTTTTTTAAGAAGTCATGCTAATAATAGTCCCGTGAAAGAGAATAAAAATATCAAAAAAATAAAATCTCAAAGTGATTTTACACATCATTTTCTTATACATTTTCAAATTTTAATGCATATTTTGCACGTCAAATACAAACGTTAGATCTTAGCACGATTATTAATATTTTCCCAATAGTGAGAGAATTGAAGGTCAATTTCTAGTATCATTTCACTTTTTGTTGACTACTAATTAATTTTTCTTGATGAAAAATACATTAAAACAAATAAAATTTAATCCATACATAATTAAGGGTCTCTGGTCTCTACCTTTCTTTCATTCTTAAGTTTGAGGGTCTCTTGGTCATTTTACATCATAAATTTTTATTTCAAAAAAAGATATTCTAGGCAATTGTAACAAAGTATATGATTGTAAAATTTGTTTGTTACATCCACCCAAGAAATTCGTTTGTTAATCCTAACAAAGTATAAGATAAATTACCTTCTTCCCATTCAAGTTTGAAAATAATAATAATAAAATCTTATACATTTTTTATACTAAAGTTAAAATTACCAGAACTAATACAGCTTGTATTTAGACATAAGAATAAACAAATTAAAATACATATTTAAGTATAAAATATATGAAAACATTATTGTTTTCATTTTACAACTGACAACTTACTAATAAATATTGACCAAGTGTTATGTACATTAAATTTTTAATAAAATAAAACATAATTATGTCAACCATATAAAATTTAATAAATTTTCTACAAACTTTAAAGGAAAAAAAAAAAGACAGCAAGGTAAGCTGAAAGGAAAGTTCACACGAGACAACAATATTGCCACGTGACCTGCCACCTACTCTTCTGAAACAAGTCTCTCTCTTAATTCAAGAGTCTCTTAATTTTATTTTATTTTATTTTTTTCAAGAGGTGATATTTTATATAACGAATAATTACCGTCACAAGTGACTCTTTATAGTTATGTAACAAAATAATTTTTCGTTCGCCAAATTCAAACTCGCCAAATTCATTTGAGAATTTGAAGTGTTCATGATTTCTCTCATCTCAACATTTTCCGCCCAAAGTTTTGTCAGTCAAGAACAACTCCTACGAAGGAAAGTTCTGCATTCCAGATATCAGAAGAGGACTTGAGGTTTAGTGCACTAAGAACGGCTCTAGTCACTTCATAACACCACTAAGCTCGTTCCAAACAAGATGCTCGCATAATTGAGATTCATGTCATCAAAAAACCTAGCCACAATCGTGCAAAAGTATGCCCACAACTGAACAATAAATACTGTAATTAAAAGTCTTTTTATCGCAACAGTTCTACAATCCTTTGGACAGAAATACTTGTATGCATCAAAAACCTCAAGTTCATAAGGGTAAAAGTGCATTTTGAAGGGACAAATTTTATGAAAAATTTTAACACTAAATGAGACCAACAAGAGGAGATTAGTGCAGTCAAATTGATGTGAGATCCACAAGATTATGGGTTGATCCACAAGAGTATGATATGATTTTACTGTTTTACAAATGAGATGCAGTCTCTCTACACAAACACATACCAAACACAGGCATGAAGCTATTTTCTTTTTCCTTTTCCTCCTTGTGTTGGGGATAGCTGTTGTCTAAAAACATAAATATTGTAAACAGTCTTGAGTTCTCAAGTACCCACCAAAGATTATGCTTCTTCATTCATAGTTCTCTATAGTATGTCAAGAGGCTTTGCATCCACATAAGGTTGCAGTAGCCGGTGACTTGCGATGGTAGCTTGACTTTGACCGGCACATGTGGGTCACCAAGTGTAGGAGGGGGTTCAAGGAAAAGAGTTGGAAAATTCGAAGATCTTCGAAGATCCTTGAAGAACAACTTCGAATTATCTAGAACATGATGAGAGGCTTAGATTCTTCAATAATCTCAACTTAGGAACACAAGGGTCACCAAGAAGTCTGTTTTGGCCGTTATTTCTAGGTTTGGACTCCTCTTGTCGAGACGGACCTCTTGGTATATTCAAAAGTTGATTTCGACAACTTCGAATTTTTCAATTTACAGAAAAACAAAGTTGCGGATGTTCTATTTTGGCACAATGATACTCTGAATACCAATTTGTTGTGCCTGGGAAGCAGAAAACAATCACATAAGCAAGAATACACAAAGATTTACGTGGTTCGGTAAATCACCTCTGTCCACGGGCAACGGATTTCACTATATGGAAAGAAATGCACAGATTACAATAATGGAGGAGAAGAGGACAATGCTCTCACTCTACTCACACACACTCACTCTCACTCAGTTGCTTACACTTTGTCACTCTCACACTCTCTGATTTCACCCCACAAAACTCCTCTCATTCACTACCCATTTATGGATCAATGGGAGAGCCAAGCTGCACTAAAAGCTTGATTGGCAACACATTTTTCTGCATCACTAAAAGTAGATTTGCAGTGTCTCAAATTCTTCAACTAGATCTCTTTACTTTTTCATGCAAAATACAGAGGATCTAGATCCTACTCAAACAGATGGATGCAGATCTTCTCCATTTCATAGATGGAATAGAGAGAAAGATCCACAGTAGCAAATCTTTAATTTCAATTGAAAGCAGAAGTTGAAGATGAGGACATAGAGGTCCTGGAAGATGTTGGGAAAGAACCAACCGAGAAAAGCGAAGAGGCGCTAAAGAAAATCCTCGTCCAGGAGGGCGACGAAGAACGATTTTTTCTTCTCGGCTCCGGATTCCTTTGTGGAGCAAAGATGTGCTTGGGTATGTAATTCATACTTTGAGTATTCAGTTTAATACTTGATTATCCTTGAGAAACATACTGACTTGATCGTCGGAGTGCCCCCGGGTGGAAGAACCACCGCCGGAGCTTTTCCTTTCCATCACAGGTTGCTGGAGCCATCTATTCTGCCAGTGCTTTGCTGCTGATCACTAAACGGGCAGTGTGGTCAGATTTAATTTGTTAATCCAATGAAGTTGTAATTATAGACAGCCAATTTCCATTTTCGAAGATTTGTTGTAATCTTATGAAATGGAGAGGATCAAATACCCTTTAAGATCACCAACAATATGGATTCCTAATGATCAATAAACCCCCGCAAACACAAATGATGATATATATTTTCGGAGTTTAGTGACACAACAGAACAAAAGTATAAATGGAAATAAACTTTTCGACTTTTTAGTTACCAATATATAATATATAACCACTACAAATACACAAGGCAAAAGAAAACTATGAAATTGTCTAAAATACATAAAATTATATACCTTGAAGACAGTCACAATTCTCAGCCTCCTTACGCACAACATCAAGAACCGAATCAATAAGTTCTGCTCCTTCGGTGTAGTGACCCTTGGCCCAGTTATTTCCAGCACCAGATTGTCCAAAAACAAAGTTATCGGGACGGAAAATCTGACCATACGGACCAGTCCTCACACTGTCCATAGTACCAGGCTCAAGATCCACGAACACAGCACGAGGAACGAACCGTCCACACGAGGCTTCATTGTAGTACACATTGACGCGCTCCAGCTGCAGATCTGACGTTCCAGTGTATCGGCCAGTCGGATCAATGCCATGTTCTTCGCAGACAACCTCCCAGAACTTCGCTCCGATCTGGTTTCCGCATTGTCCGCCTTGAACATGAAGGATTTCTCTCATTTTCACCTGAAATTAGTTCTTAGCACTCAAAATTTAGCAGAAAAAGCCAGAAACTAAGCAAATTTAGTCATGTTAGTATATGTAGGAAAATGAATGGGAGTAATAATTAGTGTTACACTAATGATTGGCAGTGGATTTGATGTTTTAACTTTTGGTGTTGCATTTTTTTTTACTATAAATGATTTAACATCAAATCATTGATAAATCAAATTTAGGTCTCGTTTGGCAAGAGACTATTTTAGTCAATTAGTCAAAAAATTATTAAATTAGTCAAAAAGCCAACAACTCATACCAAAAAGTCAAAGATTCTCTTTTCTCTCTACTTTTTGCACATCTTTTCGTAATTAGCCAAAAAGTCATCCCAAACATACAAGTTTTTTTTACCTACCTTTTTAGCTAAATAGCCAAAAAATTACTAAATTAGCATGTTCCCAAATGAGGCCTTAGTCATGATAGTATATGTAGGAAAATGAGTGGGAGTAATAAAGTTAAATGATTTGATGTTTTAACTTTTGGTGTTGCATTTTTTTTTTTTATTGGCTGTCATCTTTTTCAAATTTTAAAATTAATAGTCTCTATCATTATTGCTATATGTAAGTATCCAAGAACTACACTATACAGAAACTCTAACTGATCTCCATCTTCTCCCCTCACACACCTTTGCAACTCGCCAGAAACCTAATTTATCAGACTCTCTCTCTCTAAAAACCAGTAACATTGTCGATTTGGTTCCAACATTAGTCATCCATCCTCTACTGATTAACACTTCATAACTCTCTCTCTCTCTCTCTCTCTCTCTCTCTAATTACATTTGCATATATCATCGGAGATTTTGGAGCAATGAGATAACAGATTCCAAGAAATGATCACTTACCGAAGATTCCGGCGATCTGAACTGAGAATGGGAGATTCCGGCGAGGTCCGGCGATCGAGCAACGGAGGGAAGAAGAGAGGGAGACCGATGTGAAAGCGAGATGAGACACTGTATGTAAAGGTGGAAATTTGGGCGTTGTTTGATTTGTATTTGAGAAATATTTTTGAGATAAAAAATATAAAATTTGTTTGGTTTGATTTTTTTTTAAAAGATGTTTTGAAAAATTATTTTGAGAGAGAGTTTTGGAAAAAGTGATTTATTTGATGTGTATGAGAGAGAGATTTATTTGGAAAATTTGTAAACCAAACAAGTTTTGGAAAAAAAATTTAGGAAAATTTGTTTCGTTGGGTTACTTTTGAAAATTTATTTGTAGAGAATTTTTTTCAAAATTTTTTGAGAAACACAAACCAAACAAGGCCTTGGTTTTTATAAGGTTGTTTTGGGTTAATTTTCGGCCTAAATTTGAGTAGGGTCTATACCTTTTTTGAGGTGAATCTAAAAAGGTAACATGTTTCTTGTCACGTGGCGAGTTCCGCAGTGCAAATGATTCTTTAAAATTATTTATGAGTAAATGAAAACTTAATGTAATTTTCGGATTCGTGAAATTAGACCATTAAAAAATAAAATGTGGATTTCTTTGTAAAGTGTATCCCACATTGAAATTTGAAGACAATTTATGTGTGTATATAATTTCTAGGTGACAACACTTTGGTTGGGTTCTAAAGGGCATCTCTAGTTTGTAAAATGGAGGAGTTATGAACAAATTCATTCTACAAACTTGGAGTGTCCCTTAGGTCATTTTTAGATCATCGAAACGGGACCATTAACTTTGTAACATATAATAACTAGGATATGTACCTTAAAATATTGTTGGAATGAAAATGTAATAGAATATAAAATTATTGGGTTAAAATGTAAATATAAATATGGTTTTTGATTTTCAAATTAATTTTATAATTAGATTTTTGAAACGAGTTTGTCAAACATAAAATTTTGTTTGGTTGTATATATTAAAAATAATTTTTACAAATTTAAAATTCAAAACTTACTTGGTTTTGGAGTTTCCAAAAATAGTTTTAAAATTTTTAATTTGTATTTTATTATTTTTAGTGAACTTTTTAATATTTTAATCAATATTTTTTACTTTTCAGATCCACTCAATTTAAATATTTTGCATTATAAAATTTAGAGAGATGCAGAAATTTAAAAAAATTAGACCCTCCTTACTACAAACTTAACGATAAACCTATAAAAACTGTCCAATTGAATTTAATAATAAGTTTTGCTATAAATTTTTGTTTTTAACAATAAGCAAGCTTCAATAATATCATTGTGATTGATATAGTATTTGAACTCAAATTCTCAATGCAAAAATAGTTGCGTTTTTGTTTGTCAAATAGAAATTTAAAGGGCAAAAAATAGTATGGTCCATGATTAGTAGTGGTGGAGGCAATGTGATGGAAATTGCAACAATTCATCAAGAAAATGTGAAAATAGTGATGACACAATTACTACCTTGGCCAAGAAAACGTGAAAATAGTGATGACACAAATGCAAACAAAAGTATAAGATTTATTATTGTAGTAATTTTTGTTTATGTAACCCACCTACAATTTGCAACAGAAAATAAGCATTTTATTTTTCAGACCAATAACAGTACCCAAATAAATTTCTATGTTCTACATTTTTTTAGATAGTGAGTTTTGGTTGAAATAAAGAAGAGAGATCTTATGACTATAGTTTTGCATCAATTTTAATCTTATGGTTGAAATCTACCAATTTTTATGGTTTGGTTGTCAGTTTACTGTGCAAAAAATTAAATAAATGAAAAATAAATAAATTGTATGTTACTTGGTGAATAATTCAATTTAAACATAAATTTTTCAAATTTATAGGTAAACGAAATAGTGAAATGTAAACACATAAATGCTACATAAAATTCAAGCACAACAAAAGTATAAGATTTTAAACAAACAACAAAATATATGTCCCACAACATAGAAACATATAATAAAGATCAGACAGAAATACACCAGCCAATGCTCTGCAATAGAAAAAAATAAATAACAAATTAAGCACACCAGCCAATGCTCTGCAATAGAAAAAAAATAAACAACAAATTAAGTACACCAGCCAATGCTTTGTAATACAAAAAAATGCCAAATAACAAATTAAGCACACCAGCTAGTGCTCTGCAATACAAAAAAAATGCAACACCCTTTCTAATAAAAATATATATGGAGGCAAAAATTCAAATTCAACCAAATAAAAATATGATTAGTTTTCTTTAACCTAATTCAAGAGCATATTAGGAAGAAAAAACAAAAAAGACTATATCACCTAGTGTGTCACATTTACAAAAACAAACTCATAGCATAAGTCAATAATTCAAATGAATATTATCTACTATACATCTAAACTTAGTTATAAATTTCACATACATAAAAGGCTTTACAAAACTATTGTAAGTAATAAAATTCATATCGATAGGAAACTTTACAAAATCTGAATCATAGCTAGCATATGTACGCTTTTCACAAAATAAATATGATCTTTAAACTTGTTCTTTCTTAGAAATCCTAGGAGCGCCTCATCACTTTTCAAAAAGTCTTTGTATCAACTTGTATGTATCCCCAGTGAGGAGCATGCACGACAATCTACTAATTTATGAAAATAAAAAAGTTAGTATATTAGTAAAAGAAAATCTATATATATATATATCAAAACACTTTCAAATTGAAATTATCTTGTTATATCCCCATAGAAGCAATCTAGTTGTATTTATCTTTTTGAGCTCCATATATTTTTTAACCCAATCCTACAAAAGTTGACATATATAGTAAAATATTTTAAAAATAACAATTTGTAATCAATAGAAACAAATTTATCAATAAATAAATTGTACTTTTTGACAAAAGTGGTTTGATCTATAAGTAATACTATAATAAAATTTCAAGATAAACAATGTTTGTAATAGAATCTGGCTTATCATTGGGAAGAAGGACACTTATACGATCAAAAGATGTGCATCTAGATAGGGTCATGTACAATTGCCCATGGCTAAACACTGGTATGCGCAAATCAACTCCAACAAATTTCACAGATTGCTCTTGAGATTTATTAATGGTTAGGACATATGTCAATCGAATTGGAAATTGATGTCTTGTCATTTGGAAAGGCATTTCTGAAGAAGATGGTGTCAAGGATATCCTTGATATGAATACCAAATTGCCAAATTTTTCTCCAGTTAAAATTTGAGCTTCAATTATGCAAGTATTGCATCTAGAAACCATCAATCTTGTGCCATTGCACAGTCCATCTTTTGATGCAATATTTCTTAACAACATTATAGGACAACCCACTTGCAACTCTACTTTAAAAGTCAGTAGCCCAGGAGGATCTAATGAATTTAAATATTCATTAGGATATCTATTTATTATAGTACGATCAATTTTATCATCGTCAGATGTCTTGTCTGCTGCCAGATAAGTATATATATTATCGAGAAAAATATTCAATGCGGCAGTATTGATAGCACTGACATCATCATTCTGTGATGAAAGAATTATACGTTCAGTTAAAAATGTTGTATTCGATGTCATTGCCACATCCAGTTGCGGATAAACTACTGAGATTATGTTTTTTAGATCTTGGTATTTGTGTATTGTTGATGGAAGTTTAACAATTTCTTGAGGATTGGTTCCAATCTATTTATAATAATAAAAAAATAATAATAAGTAAAATCAATTAAAGTACCTAAACGTAAATGTATTTCAAGATAAACAATGTTTGTAATAGAATCTGGCTTATCATTGGGAAAAAGGACACTTATACGATCAAAAGATGTGCATCTAGATAGGGTCATGTACAATTGCCCATGGCTAAACACTGGTATGCGCAAATCAACTCCAACAAATTTCACAGATTGCTCTTGAGATTTATTAATGGTTAGGACATATGTCAATCGAATTGGAAATTGATGTCTTGTCATTTGGAAAGGCATTTCTGAAGAAGATGGTGTCAAGGATATCCTTGGTATGAATACCAAATTGCCAAATTTTTCTCCAGTTAAAATTTGAGCTTCAATTATGCAAGTATTGCATCTAGAAACCATCAATCTTGTGCCATTGCACAGTCCATCTTCTGATGCAATATTTCTTAACAACATTATAGGACAACCCACTTTCAACTCTACTTTAAAAGTCAGTAGCCCAGGAGGATCTAATGAATTTAAATATTCATTAGGATATCTATTTATTATAGTACGATCAATTTCATCATCGTCAGATGTCTTGTCTGCTGCCAGATAAGTATATATATTATCGAGAAAAATATTCAATGCAGCAGTATTGATAGCACTGACATCATCATTCCGTGATGAAAGAATTATACGTTCAGTTAAAAATGTTGTATTCGATGTCATTGTCACATCCAGTTGCGGATAAACTACTGAGATTATGTTTTTTAGATCTTGGTATTTGTGTATTGTTGATGGAAGTTTAACAATTTCTTGAGAATTGGTCCCAATCTATTTATAATAATAAAAAATAATAATAAGTAAAATCAATTAAAGTACCTAAACGTAAATGTATTTCGTCAATTTAAAAGAACTATATAATAGAGAAAAAGTTTGAAGAAATATTACCTCTATCAAGAATTTTGCAAAATTAGTATTTCCAAGATTTGTATGATTCAAGCGCATATTCAAATTTAAAGACAGAACTATATATATCCTTTCATAGAAAAGAGTGACTTAATGCTGCATTCACAATTTGCTCACGAACTCCTTTGGTTATAACTGGTAAGATTTGTCGAAAATCTCCACCAAGAACAACAACGATACCCCCAAATGACTTTTCACTATCACAAGTGTCTCGAAGTGTGCGATCAACTGTCTCGACACAATGTCTATGCTGCATAAGAACTTCATCCCAGATTATAAGTTTTGTTTCTCTAAACAATTCTGCTTATAATGATTGCTTTCTGAATCCACAAATTGAATTTTTCAATACATCCAACGGAATGGAAAATGTTGAATGAGCAATACGACCTCCTACCAATAACAATGATGCAATTCCAGATGAAGCCACAGTAATAACAATATGGCCAAGGCTGCGACACT